CGCCATTATCGACCTAACCATACTCCTGTGTAGTAAAGAGGAGGGCATATTCTTACGCTTCTGCTTCACGGTACACTGCCTCCTTGTAGGGAGAGTGACCAGTAAGTTGACCACACGCAGGGCTCCGTGACAGTTTATCACAACTAAAAACCTCGTTAGCAGAGAAAGGACGTAAATTCTATGCTCAGTAGTTTCTTTATTATTTGTTAAATGAGCGAAGCAGTGAAAACCTTGAAGGCTCATGCAATTATAAGGGCTCCACCGGTAGAAGGCTGCGGTTCATCAAAAACATTTGCAAAAAATCTGGGATAATTAGAAGATTTAATCACTTGCCTGCGCAGCTTACAAAGGCTGCCGAGCGAAGATTTAGGGCAGGCATTCAGAAATCGCGCTAAAATACTCAGGCCAAAGGGTCACTAGAGATGTTCACTCACATCTACAAAAATGTAGCGAAGCATAAGCCGGTAAGTAATGGTATTTGAAACTTGGAGGGAAACTTAAGCAGGTTTACCGTCTTGCATGCATCAAAAAAGGAGCAGAACACATTTTGTGGATTGTCCGAAGTTGAAGGAAGAACAACGTAGCCCACGAATGCCGCCAGTAATAGAATGACACAGAACTGGCAGGGAGTAGAACAGCAAAATTGGCACGAACTTGTTTTTGTGAATGAGGTGTCTTAAAGAGCTGTCTATTCCACGTTTTTGAGCACACTGCGTGAACTAGCGAAGACGTCTGGATTTCAATGCGATCCGCAGCAGCTCTAGCAGGACCAGACTCGCAGAGAGCCCGAAGAGATTCGACCCTTTAGTATGGTAATCCCTTCCTACATGTTCGTGATATATTAACGCGTTTTCCATATTCATTTTCGACCTGTCATTGTTGTGAAGCAGTCCCGCTCTAGCCAAGAGTGCTCCTTCACGTCATATAGTCATTTAACATCAGCTATGCTTTCAGGGACAACAGTTTTGCCCTCCAGAGTGTCACACCCGCGACATTCCCATTCAGGGATTTCAGAATTTGCAAGCTTTTGTCACAAGTGGTAAACAAGCGAAAACGTTTTGTTAAACGGTTAGCCCGAAACAACAAGGAACCTCCAGTGCCTCGAATATTCGTCAAAACTGGCCATTGTTCAACGACATGCTCGACACGTAAACACGACACGGGAGGTAACCCGCCGAAAATAGCGCCACCTATTTACCACTTAGCTTATTTAGCAGACCCGAATGAAAATCCCGAGTTCACTGTTAAATTACATCTGGATCAACAGGAGAAGAGGTTGTTCCGACCCTCAATTTTACGAATTGAAACAACCCATGCGTTCCAACAATCTATTCCAATTGTCATCTATGTAAATTGAGTGCCTTGTATTAAGAGCAAAGAATGCTTCTCCTCATTTGAGAGGAGAATGAAAAACGCTCCTCCTATACGAATAAAGGATAAGGATAAAGCATTTGCCGTTGATCAATCCCTTTTTGGGATGCGGCACGCATTCTACTTCCATTTGTACATTCGTAGTGGCATTTGAATGCGATGTGGCCTATACAATGACTTGCGGGGGCCAGCCGATGTTCAAGTCAGTGTTTTTATCCTCCCAGACAAGTCTGGTACCAATTAACCGACCCCGGAGGGATGGAAGGCTTGGTTGGCCCGGGCGACTCACGACCCAGGATTTGATCCCCGGACCGCTCGCGTGGTGCGCGCCCACGTCAGCTGCGCCACTTGTCACTACACCACTTCCCTCTATCAGAATACAAATTCAAGTCATGTTAAGCTGGAAAAGTTCTCAAAAGTGTCAAAGCCACTGGTCGGAATTAGGATCCAATAGCCATTCGGCCCTAAAGAGAGAAACAGGGTCCCCAAGCACGCCGGAGCGCGACAGCTTTTGCGACCTTAAAAGTGCGAGCACACTGTCGCGGCACAAAAGTGCGAGGCAACGGCGCGCAGGCCTTGCCTTACGTGCAGTTTTTCTGAGACGCTTTTTGCGCTCGTTTTGCTTTTTACTCATGGCATTTTTCATTGCTCTTCAAATAATTTTTGAACAAAAAAACACACATCAATTCGATCCCGACCCGTTCCTTTATGTGTTAGATGTCGGAGTGCTAATTTTTACTGAATTGGTTCTGTTGGAAAGTTCAAACTGTAGCCAAAATCAGCCGAAACGTGCAGTGTTTCAACATGGGGTTTTCCGACATACGTAGATTTCACCTGCATAAATCAGTTCGTCAACACAAACTGGCCTATTTCTATATTCAAGTTGAGCAGCTATATACACAATGTATATTATAGCGTTTAATTGTAATTGAAATTAATTATCGCCGACATCAGCTCAATGTGGATTGCTTCGCCCAAAAACAGTTTGCTTTTGGAATCTCTACATTCGCCATTATTCCACCAAGGATGAAAGCGATCGCAGCGAGAATATGTTTTTCGGTCTCTTCGTAGCACAGAAGGGTTCCCGGCTGGCGGCGCGGAACCGTTGTGGTAACATGAATCCACGTCACAGAAAAATGCTTTTTTTATAGTTAAATTTTCCCCCTCAATTACGCTGACATTGGTAACGGCGTCTGACATCCAATTCAAATGGTGGTGAAACGTGATTACGCAAAAATTGCGACCAGGTGGAAATTTTAAATACTGTGAAAAACATGTACTACATAGACTTAAACATCTAGTACTCGGAAATCACATATGTGGTCGCGGGTCTCCACAAATGATAAGTCTGCCATGAAAACTACTAGCTTTGAGAAACGACCAGTGGTCGGGGAAACCAAAGCTTGAAAACCAAAATCGAACGGGAATTTTCACACCTCCTGGTATTTCAAAGGGTTCGCCTTTCAAAAATGTCGAGGTGCAAACAATTGAGAGTGCTTCAGCTGACTGCCATCGTAACCACGTCGGTATAACCGCCATTCCACGGTGGTTGTTAAGCGATTGCGTTTGGGATGATTTTCCCCCAAGGGTAAGACAGGGAAATCAAAGAAGATAGCCTTCCTCATTCATTTGACGCAAAAGAGTTTAGTATATTTCTCATGTTGCGATATTCTCAGCACCAATATGGCCAAGCTGAGTCATAAAGTTAACCGATCCTGTATTAAAAAAGTAATGATGGGTTTAGCCTTGTAGCTCAGCGGACGAGCGAACAAGGTGGAAAGTACTGGAGAAGTAACCGATTCGGTTCCGACGGCACCTTGGCAAAATGAAGGTGTTTTCAGACGGGCCGTTAGCCAAAGTCGTCCCATTTTTCACGTTCCGGTCAGCAAATTGGAGAGGAGGCTATCCGTGTAGAGGCAGACGCCCAAAAACAACATGTTTATCTGAGCGATAGCCGTGGTTTGTCACGAGGTTGCGCGGCTGCAGCGACAGCATCGTTTATTAATCTACCACGCAACTACGAGCCAAGGATGGGATGTTGAACGATTACCGTACTCGCTACGAAACCCAGCAATATGTCGAAGCGTATTTAGTAAAGAGTTACAGAACTCAATGCCTTTTGGTGACGAGCTATTACCATACGTTGAAATTCGTTCAAGATCAGAAAAGAAAAGTAAGAACCTATTAAGGACGGAATCGGAAATTGAAAAGCCATGATGGTTTTCGTGCCACATTTATGTGTGTTTTCTGATCTTGCTTGTAATTTGAGAACTGGAACAAAGAAATTCGACAAATGGGCATTTTCTGAGTTCTAAATAATGAATAGCATCAGCTGACGAAGGAAACGAGGATTTTGAGCGAACAGTTCTTACGGCCTTCATTTTTCCTCCT